GGGGGAAATGCAGTCTGAGGGTTGTGCAGTAGCAGAATTGTTTTGTTTATTGTTAAGTTAGCAAAAATTACAGACTTTTTTGCCAGAAAATGATCTATGTTTATTAATTTATTCACAGTGTTGTGATTAACAGCTTTCTGCTGCCAGTCTGGCTGCTTATTTGTTTGCCTTAAACAAGCAAATGAGTAAATGAAAAACAGTTAAAATAGAGTACCATCATTTGTTTGTGAAAGACAGAAAGTTCTGCTGCTGAATCTTTCTAATGCTTCACTGCTGGCAATAAAATGATGTTTAGAACAACCCAGCTGAAAGAAAGAGAGAAAGAAAGAAAATGGAGGGGAGGAAGGAAGGAAAATACAGATTAGTACAACAAATGCTTTTTGTTTGTGTTTTGATATCTAACCTGAAATGGTCATAAAGGCTTGTAGAAAGTAAGAGTTCCCCATGAAGTCTCACAGAAATCTGTGCCTGGCCTTGTGTTGAACATACAAGCTATCTGGAAAATGAAGAGCAGCTTGAGGCGCAAGTGCTTCTGGATGATCAGTTTCTCTAGGTAGGTAAAATGAAGATCAGCTGGGAAGAAGATTTCAAGGTGTGTGTTATCTCTGAAGCAAAGCCCCCCTGCTGAAACAACCCAGATTTCACAGGCAAAGAGAGAAGTGCCAGATTTCCAACCCCCAGTGCTCAGGCAGAAGAGATCTCTGGATTATGGTGGGTTTTTTTTGAAGCTGTCAGCCCAACACTCAGTGGTAGTGAGGGAGTGTAACGTTAGGAATTATTAAGGAAAGCACAAAGAGGAAAACATAGCATAGAATGCTGGAAATTTGTTGGGGAAACAGCATCTTGAACATTGTCTGCAGCTCCAATTCTCTCGTGCTAAAAAAGAACAACAAAAGATATAAAAAAGGACAAGATACCTGAAGCAACTTGTACACCATGAATGATTAAACAGCCTGGGACTTGCGGGGAGTGGAACAAAAGGAGGGGAGATTTGACAGTGAATCCTAACACCACAGGCAGCACAGCGAGATGGACTAGAGAAAGACTTTTCTGTTTTACAACACAGAAGAACTAGAGAAAACCAACAGAAACAGGTGGGCAAGATCAGAAAAGATAAAGGGAAACATAAAATCTTTGTTATTGTGAATTGCAGATGAGCTTTTTGCAGTGGATTAGAAACATAAGGAGGTCTGTATTGGGTAGGAGATTCAACTAGAGACACAGGTGGACTTAAAAAGGATGTGTGGAAATGGCAGTCTGGCCTGCCTTTATTGAGATCTCTCCCCAGCTTCACTGGCTCAGCTTGAGAGATCTTCCTTTGCATGTTTATTTACTGTAGAACAGGGTTTGGGCTGTGGACGTGGCACATGACAGTGTGTAACTGTAAGAGATGACCATCTGGTGTAATTCATACATTTGGTACTCATGAGAAGGTGCAAACTACAGATCAAAGTGCTGTATGTATATATTTATTAGACTATTTGCATTTCTCATTATGCTTCTCTCATTTTTGTAGTGTGAATTATTCTAGCTTCAATTGTTTCTACAGAAATTGATTACAATCAAGCTTTCTCAGATCATCAAACCTCAGGACATACAGGGCATTTTAATTCCAATTCAGTCTATCTTGCAATTAGCGATTTACCTCAATGACTTTTAAGTTCACTTTAAACTGGATGAATTCCTTCTAAATGGGAAGGCTGAGGTTGGTCAAACTAGATGGGCTAATTCAAAACTGGTAATTCAAGTCATTTTGAATTCTTTCCCATCGATTACAGGTAGGACAAATATAGGGTTCATACAACATGCTATAGCCAGGCTTTCTGGCTACCTGCTTGTCTTTTCTGGAAACTGGAACTAGAACCACCAGTCAGCTCTGTGCTGGACAGGATTTACTGCAGTGGAGTCAAGCGCTGCTGGGAATCCAGCCCTGCTTGCAGCACGCAAGCTCAGACAGCTAAAGGATGCTTGCTGAACTTTCAGCTCTGAAGCCATTTAACCTCACTTAATTTTGCCTTTGCAAACACATTAAATAATGTTTTCATTTTCTCCTTTCTGGTTTTTATGTACCACTCTAGTCAGCTAGTCAAACACAAAGAACTCAGACATGAAACACAACCAGCCTGGCTTTGTGTGTCCTTGTATTTGTCCAGCCCCTGCCTCCTCCAGCATTCATCCGGAAGGGCATCAGCTCACAGGCTGCTTACTTACATGATATATGTATTATATATTACCCACATCTAAACAGGCATGTTATTTTAATAACATTCACAACATTCAGTGATTCCCTAAGTGCAAAGTTATATTACCGTTTTTCTCCCTCCTCCAGATATTTCACAGTACCATAAGAAAAAGTGGAGTATGTGCCTCCTTGGAAAAACAGATTAATTCTCATCCTCTGCAAATCTGAGCTGTCTGAAGGTGTCCTTTCTAAAAGCCTTAAGTTGGTGAGGCAGCTCACATGTATCATTTCACAGTTTTATAATTAGGCTTTGTTATACCATTAAAATATAGGTAAACTTTCTTAGAAAGATAAATACTCATCAGAAAGGAAGGACTGTAGAAATGGCCCACAAAATCTGGGCCTTACATTTTGTACTATTTTCAACTGAAGTCTGATGTTGAGAGTAGGTGGTGGATTATGAAATGTGTGGTGGCTACTTACAAAGTTCTGAGATTGGACAGTGGCCCGCTGACCCCTAAAATTCTGGAATCAATTATCTAAATCCATCATGTGTGAATGTTAACACTGCATACTAAAGAAGATGAGTAATGACACTGCCTGTTTATGTCTCAGTGGTATGGACTTTATTGTTCAAGGAAACAAGTGGAAAATGCCATTCACAGTCTTTTATCTTGCTTGTTTTCCACGTTATTACCACCTGCTTGTATGCAGAGGAGGGAGAATTAGAGCAGAATATTCCAATTTAGGAAGAATTCTGCTGAAAAACTGCAGATTTAAGTGGGATTCAGGTTTTGATTGCAGACTACAGAGAGTTAGCAGTGAATTAATGTTGATACAAAGAACCAGACTTGATTTAAAAGTTATTCAGGCGTGAACTGAGGTTGTGTTACTCACTTTAATGGAGATGTTGCAAATTTATATTGACGCACATTAATTCAGAATCAGTTCCCTCATGCATAGTATTTTATGGTAAAGCACTGATTTAAAACTGAGCAGCAGGCATGCTGTCATATCTGGAGCAGGAGCTTTAATTACTAGAATTAAAGAAACCCCATGTATCTGAAAGACAGGTTGCACTGATAAAATCTTTAATTTTATTTCTTTACCTTTCTCAGCATTATTATTATTATTATTAGTTCAACTGGAATTGTTTAGTCTGGAGAAGAGATGCCTAGGGGAGAACTTATCACTCCCTACCTATGATGACCTGAAAGGCAGCTGTGGTGAGGTGGGGGTCGATCTGGAGAATCTGTGGTGAGATGGGGATTCTCCAGATAACAGCAACAGGATGAAAAGGAATGGCCTCAAGTTGCACCAAGGGAGGTTCAGGCTGGATGTTAGGAAACATTCCTTCACAGAAAGAGCAGTGAGGCAGTGGCACAGGCTGCCCGGGGAGGTGGTGCAGTCACCGTCCCAGCAGGTGTTCAGGAAACGTGTGGATGTGGCACTGAGGGAGGTGGTTAGTGGGCATGGTATGGATAGGTTGGACGTTGGACTAGGTGATCTTGGTGGTCTTTTCCAACTGCAATGATTCTATTCTATACTATACTGTACTGTACTATGCATCTAAGCTAACTGGTAGGTGGGACACAGCATCCTGGTGCCTGGAGCTTTCCCAAGATCTGGCTCCTTGCATGCACGCAATCCCCCACGGGCCCTGAGGCAGGGTGTGAAGTGCCAACAGCCCACACTGAGGCCAGGGAGCACGAGGCTGATGCACCAGGAAGGCCTGAGGCAGCGAGGGCTGCGCTGTGCTGTGATGTGTGCGTGCCCAGCGAGCCTTGCTTGTGTTCAAGGGTCTGTCAGACTTCAGCACCCCTGGATAGCAGCACCGATGCGTGAATAATACAGGGGCTGTGCTTGCACTGCTGCCCCTTTCCGAACATTAACAGGTGCTCTGGCCTTGCCTGTTGGCTTCCCAGGGAAGGTGGCGGGGCACGTTACTGATTTATGCACAGACGTGATTTGTTTGCACCGGGTCAGAGGAAGCAGCACTCAGGGCCTTTCCGCCAGCTCTCAGCCAGCTGCCCGCTAACCGCAGCCCATCTGCCTCAAGAATTCACCGGAGCCGAACGCCGAGCTCGCGGCTGCGTGCAAAGCGCTGTGTCTGCGGCGCCCCGTTGGGGCTTGGGGAGCGCGCGGCAACCGGCCCTTTAACCGGCACGCGCCGCCAGCCAGCGCCGAGCCGGGCGGGCAGCGGGCAGCGGGCTGCGAGCAGCGGGCGGGGCCCCGGCAGCGCTGACCCCGCCCAGCGGGGGTCTCCTCCACCCCGACACACACCGCTCCCATTGGCTGCGGCGCGCGCGTGACACCGCCCCCCCTGCAGCCCGCTGCCCGCTCCCTCCCTCCTTCCCTCCCTCCCTCCGGTGCCGGCGGAGCGGGAACGGCGGGGGCGCGAGCGGCGGCGTCAGCGTCAGGTGGGACGGGCGCGGGGCGGGCGCTGCGTTGCCCGGGCGACGGGGCCGGGTCCCGCCATGGGCCGCCGTCAGCGCGATAAGAGCGGGGCGGGCGGCCGCGCGCGGCGGCTGCGGCGAAGCGAGGAGCGGGTAAGGGGGCGGCGGGCGACGGCGGCTGCGGCCTCGCGGGGCCCGCGTCGCGTTCGGGCGGGGCGGATCGAGGCCCCGATACGCGGGGCCGGTCGCGTTGTTAACCGGCGCCAGCTCGGCTGCGCGGCGGGAGGCGGAAGAGGCGGCTGCGGGCGGAGCTCGGGCTGCTCGGGAAGGGGCCGGGCCGCGGCGGCTCCGCCGGTTCTGAGCGCGGCCTCCGGCTTTGCCGAAAGGAAACGCGGAGCGCTGCCCTCCCGTGAGAGCCGTGCGCGCGGCCGTCGGCGTCGGGGCGGCGTGGCCGCTCGGGTGCGGGCTGCGCGCGGCCGGGGCTCGGGGCCTCCGAGCCGGGCTGTCACCTGTGTGCCTGCTGTAAGCAGCGGGCAGGGGGGCGATGAGAGCTCCGTGGGTATTCCGCAGTCGTGGGAGCCGGCGTGGGTAGAGTGTGTGGAGATGCTTCTCTGGGAGGAAGTATTGGTTAACTTTTGGGTACTGCCTAGCGTTCCTGGATGAAACCCAGATCTGCCTCTTAGGTCTTCATAAGCTGAGAGCGGGTGCTGGAGGACTAAATGCTGTGTGTGAGAGAAGCAGGGTGACGGAAGAAGTCAGGAAGGTGGATTGGCCGTGTGATCGAGTGTGGTGAGCTGGGAACTGGGAGAGCATCCGGTGTGGGTATAGATGGGAGCCAGGTGGAAGTCGGGACAGGAGGCACCCTTGACTGTAGTGCCGCATGAGCCAGTCAGAGCTATGTGAAAGTATCTGGAGGAAACTTGTTGGTGATACAGAGCCGTGCTACTGCCAAGGTCGTATTGCTGCCTGTGGGGTGGTGTGATAACCTGTGGCAGAAGCTGTTAGGAGATGGTTTTTACTCATGTGTATGCTAGGTAGCAAAGAAGAAGTGCCTGCAACACTTAACTGCAGGAATTATCTGCAGGAGAGGTGGATCTGTTGACATTGGCTGCATTTGCTTGCTTGGCCAGGGGGCAGTTCTGCATGGAGCTTTTATTGGAATGGAGCCTTAGGGTGTGAGAAGCCATAAAAGTATGGTGGGTTTCCTCTTCTTTAACTGTAAGCTGGCAGGCCATTATCAGCCGCGTGAAGATGAAAGTATCCTGTTAATTTAGGAAATGTGCAGTATAACGACCCCAAGAGTTTCTGTTGGACACTTAAAATATTCAGTGAATGAAGAACAAGAATGCTTCTGTGCCTTGTCACAGATAAGGAGAAATCAGTCTTTTTGTGTGGTGTTCTAATTTCATTCCTGATCAGGTTTTGGAAAGAGAATCTTGAAAGTTAAAAGCAAAGAGCTTTCCTTGCTGTGCTTCTGAAACCAGCATTTAGAAGTGAGAGCTCAGGAAGGCACTTGGTTGTTACCTGCTGTGTAAAATTTGCATAGATTTCTTCAGTGAAGTTTTTTGTCACCACCTTCTAGCTTTCCCTCTTTCTCCCCATCAGTGTTTTTATAGTGTGCTCAGAGTGCTTTTGTTTTTAAAATGTTGAATTGTAATATTTTCTGTTGGGTCAGTAACCATGTAGTTAGATTTCTTAAATGCTTCTTTTACGTTTTCCTTTCTCAGTCCTCTGTAGCCTTTCAGTGCATCTCTGTCTTGGTTTGTAGGGCAGCTCTAGACAGTGAGAAAAGAGACTGAAAGCACTTGAGCAATAGCAAAAGATCTGATGGGAAATAAAAACACAGTATCTAAACATTAGAGAAGAGAAACTGTTCTTACCACTTATTGCAAGTATGTTGCTGCTTTTATTTCACTTTCTTTAGAATTAAGCTCAGCATTATGAAATATTAACAAATGCCTCAGGAAGCTCTCGATTCTGAGTTTTTTTTACTCTCAGTGATTTCTTTAATGGTGCATCTTTATTAATATGCAATTTTAGCTTGTGCAGACACTTGAATTTCCTTTGTATTTGAAGAATTTTGCTGTTATCATGCTGATGTTTTTTTTAAATGAGATAATACAGCACATAGAGGATTCTGAACCCAAAATTGGTTCTTGTCTTTTGTGGGTAGAAGGGAACAGAGGGAAAGGAAGGTGGAATGATTGTTTTAAGGGGATCCTGTTGTGCCAGGAAGCACTTGCTGCCAAAAATGCTCTTACTTGTCCTCAGCAGATGAATTTGATTGGAGTAAACAGCCATCATGGACACGACCTCACCAAGGTCTCTCGTGTCCCTCTCTGAGGAGGTGTCAGGCTCTGTACACTTCTTAAATGGAGAGCTTCCCTAGCGGAGAGCTGTAGCAGCTGCTGCCCAAGATGTCATTGTTTAATATTGGTAATTGGTTTAGCTTCAATGTGGTCTTCTTTAGGTTTTGGGAAAAGTAGTTTGTATTAGTTTATAAACATTGTTATATGCAGGCAAGGGGAGGTTATATTTGTTTGGGGTCATTTTATACCATCTTTTTCAGCTCAGTGTGATTGTGAGTCTCAGTGGTTCTGGTGTATCACTGCTTGTTGTTATCTAAAGGCTTATGAATCTTCATTAAGTAATTGGGCTCATATCATCGGAGCTATCGGCTGTTGTGATACCACTGTTTTGGAGGTGGTGAATCTGTTTTTGAGACCAGGTAGAAGAGATCCGGACACTTGTATTCATTACCGTGGCTCTGATTTGTCTGAGCCAGCTGAGCTGACCCAGCAGTTCCAAAATGCTGCAGGGGAGAGCCGCCTGCTCCCCTTTACTGCCCTCAGCACAGTGATTCAACAGAAAGATAATCTGTCTGGAAAAAGAAATAGTTTTTGATAAACCTGTGATAATGAATGCATGCAGAAGAAAGGGAGTGAGCAGCCAGGAGGGCTGAGCTGCCCTGCTTAGCATTACCCTCCCTGCCTCTTGGGGAGGGCTTCTGCTTTGACTCAGCAGGGCATCTGTGTCAGCTGTTGGTGATTTGGGTGGAACTAATAAAGCAGTTTGGTAGGTAGCTGATTTAGATTTTTCCTTCTCCCCGTTCTGTTTCAGACATTGTGTTTCAGAATGTTTTTCTGTGATGTGTTGAAATGAGTGCATGGGAATGTCTCATCCCCAGATAAAAGTGTGCAGAAATGATGCTGACAGTGAAAGGGAGGGGAAAAGAGAAAGATATCATGTGCAGTCTTTGTGGAAGAGGGATTTCTTGCTATAAAGTGTTAGCTCTGCATGGCTCGTGGTTACAGCCTGGGGCTAGTTAAAATCCCATTTCCTTAGAAAGTCAGATTTTGTTCTGCTATGAGAGTCTTGTGTGTGATTTTAAGGCACTGTGCTTTGTGGATAGGCAGTGCAAATCAATTTAATACCGTGGGTGAGAGTGAAGTAGAACAAGAACTAACACAATTCATTAGCGTGTGTATTTTGAAGAGGGAGGTATGTAATGCCGTGTTCCATGTGGTAGTTCTGTGATAGTTGGTTCTGTGGGTATCAAGAAATAACACTATTACATGTTGGCTCCTGGATTTTTAAATTGCACCGGCTTGCTTTGAAGCCCCTACTACCCATTCCATCATCTTTCACTGTCTGTGTCTGCATACTGCTTCTCTGGCCCATTCTTAGCCCTCTGCCTCCCAGCACCTAACTCACTGCTGCCTGCTGCTGCTGTGGATGTTTTGTGCTGGCCGTTTAGTGGACAAGCACTGCAACAGTTGTCTTCTGTGCTTCTGAGCTTGTGTAGTCCAGGCAGTCTTGTGGGTTTATCCCTCACAGCTGTGTTTGTGTAGTGCTTTGAGCCACGTGGAGCAGAGGTTCTCTGGGTTGGTTCCTGGTAGGCAGCAAAAGAGCTATTCTGTGCTTGCTGGGAACCTGAGAGGTGCGATAGTGGGGGAGCTGTGTCTGTGCCGGGCACTTGGTCAACATCCTATAACAATCCCAGTTAATCCTCATGTTTATTCATTCCTTTCCCTCCCTCCACTCACAAGTCAGCTTCTCAACTTCAGTTAAGTGTCACTGCTGCAAGAGAAAGTGCGTGCAGGCAGAGTACTGAATGCAGGTGGGAGGAGACATCCTGGTTCTTCAGACTTCCGAAAGCAGAGGAAAAACCCTCCTACTTTTCCTAGAGAAAATTGGGAAGTGGGAAATCAAAATGTAGAAGGGAATTATTGCTGGATAGTGCTGAATGCGAGACTTTATTTGAAGAATTGAAACTGCTTATTTTGTACAGGTCTATTTCAGCAAGTGACTGACTTTATTCATTCCTCCCCAGTATTGTGGAGGAGATTTGTGTTCTTGAGGGAGATAAATGGCAAAACAACCTCACTAGATCTGTCAACTTTGTAGTTAACTGATTTGATTCAGCCTTAATGAGCTAACCAGGTCAGTAATGACTAACAGAAATGGCAGTGTGAAGGGATGAACAGTTCTGCCTCTGTTCTGGAACAGTTCTGCCTCTGTTCTGGAAACAGTTCTGCCTCTGTTCTGGAACAGTTCTGCCTCTGTTCTGGAACAGTTCTGCCTCTGTTCTGGAACAGTGTGAACTAGGAAGGAAGGTATTTAGGATTTAAGGAAATATTCCTAAGTATTTGTAATTATATTGCAGGAATTGATAGAAGTTTGACAGCATACTTCTATTGTAATGTTACAGGAGTTAAAGTATGTATTTTCTGAGTCAGTATTTCAAACAGACACTGAAATAGTTTTAAAGAAAAAATGCAAGTCTGTCAACTTCCTTTTTTTTTTTTTTTTTAATGAAAGGTGGGAGAGCAAAGCAATTTTAACCTCAGATAGTTCTGCTAGCTTCCCCTCTGCTTTTAGAAGTTTCCATTCCTTCAGTTAGGAAGTCATTTTCATTTCTGGGGTCATGGTAAGTCCCCAGTACTTTCAGCAAACATTGCATCTGGTGTTTGGTTACCGAAAACACTATTTCACTGTATATGCAGTCTTCATCTGGCATAATTTGTTTCCTGAACTATCTCATCCGCTTAAAATCTTGTGTTTGTATGTGATAGATGTGTATAGTTTGAAGGGCATCTTGAAGTGGGACTATTTTGTGCTTTCTGGATGGATTTAGGGCTTCCTACAGTGTTTCAAAATTTTCCTAAATATCCGTCTATCTGTTAGTAGGAATAGGGGGAAGTTTCACACTTGGGTGTTATATGAGGTTAAGTATAAGCTGTTCGACTTGCATTTTTACTGGGGAGAAGCTGCCTGAAGTGAGGTTTGATGCGACTCCTTTTGGCTATAGTTGTCCAGCTGGCTGGCTGCAGGCCAATGCAGGAGGATCAGCACAGCTGGAACAGATGTCTCTGCTGCAGAATCTGAGAGGTGTGGGGTCAGCTTCCCTAAGGCAAGTAAAGCTGCTTGCACTTGAAAAGGAAGCTTAACTGGAACAAGTGTGTGAAACTCTTAAATAGTGTGGGAAATGATGTCTTTTTTTATATCACTTTCAGAATTGCTACTTGCTGCTTTGTCTCTTCTTGATTACTGCTAGAAAACATGGATTTCACAGACCGATTTTTTTAAAATCCCGGAAGCAGAATTAGTCTTCTGCATGTTAATGACCTTCTTTAACTCTGATCACGGACCTTCTTGTCTTATTCAACTGCTCTGTGTGAGTATCTCAGACACAATGGCCAAGTTTATCTTCAGCACCATATTTTCTAATTTTAATCCTCTAATAGTGTAGTTTCAGTTTCAGGAATAGCATATTCTCACTCATACCT